AGAAGGGGATTGTAGGACATCGTTTCGGGGGGAGGAGTCGTATTAACACCACCATTTCCCACATCGCGATGCTGTACCCTGGCTGCAACTGCTCCGATCCGTTGCCTCAGCTTAACGCGGTCGCGAATAGCGCGCTCCACTGCTACTGACTACGGTATATCGGCCCTTTAACTGATTAATCGATGGGAAGTCTCGCTGCGCAGAAATTGTTGTGAAGCCTTGATGTATGGATGTTACTCGGGTTTAATCGTTGAATATGTTTCTCATTATAAAACTAACAACTTATTTTGCCATTTTTAGTGATAAAGCCTTCCTCTATGGGAGAAGTAGGGGAGATTTCAGATGAGGTGGTCGTTCAGGAGACGACTAGCAATCAGGTGCGTATAGAGGCTTATTTGTGCCAGATTTCTTGCAGATATTTTGCTCTATTTTGTTCCTATGACTATTTTATTTGCTTAAGGATATCTGCCACAGCTAGTGGATCGGGTACGCCTTCTCTAGAACGAATTGATTTAGGTATGAATACGCTTTTCTGATAATAGTATTTGAAAGATCTTTGTAGAGTTTAATAATCATTCACTTGCAGATGGGTACGTAATCAAATACAAAGAACCGGCGCCTATTATCTGGACGCCATTTAGCAGGTTCGTTATTATTCGGTACCTTGGCCTCGTTTTTGCTGTTTTTTTCTTCTGCTTTTCATTTCGTTTTTCGCGAAATTGGTGCTATTGAACTATTACTGCCCGAAGAACTCAGCAGCTTTTCTGCTAAAACTTTGCAACTTTGCCTATCGGGTGATGTGCTTCCCTGTACACGAATTTTACATTCGTTTGTGCGTGGGCGCCACTTTGGCTCTACCAGTTTTTTTCACTAAATCGATAGAGCTTGCCTGACAGGGTTTTTCGACGCCCTAGTCACGAATATGGCATTCATTCTGCGACAATAGCGCCATTTAGCGCTCTGCTAAGGCTGTCTGGGAGTAGTGATTCCCTTCCCGTCGGTTCCGCCAGAGCGCAGATGATCAGACTGTCCTACATTAGCGCCGGCGCCAATAGTGAATACCATATTCGTGATCAAGACGGCAAATAACTTCACCATGCAAGGATCAAACGATTTTGGTTGGTAAGGCGCCCTGTTAGCGCCAAATGGCGCCGAGCTGAATAACGGATCTCATTAGAGCATTGGTTCCATCGATTTTGGCGAAAAGGCGGTGGCACCAAATCGGCGCCCGTTGGAGCCAAAGACAGCAGTTTGAGAAGAATGTCTTTTTTTTGAAAAGGCCACCAAACACCTCTCATAGGCAATGTTTCACTTTCAAAACATTTCGAGACTTTGGGGAGTAATAGTTCAGTAGTGCCCAGAAAATTTCCTGCTTCATCTTTCTAATTCTAGTAACTCATGGCGTACTCGATTGGAACGGGTCAAAAATAATCTAGCTAGGAGTGGTTCCAATGCGGTTGAGGTATGTGTTTTTTTGTGTTTTACCAGCAAATTTCATTCATTTTCAAATAACGCATATTAGGCAGCTGATGGAAAAAAATTCAAGAATTGGCGCTAGTGTAGTATGGGTCCGTGGTTGAGTACGAAATGGCTCTTTACGTGAGCCTTAGAAGGCGTATATAGCTTCAAGATGGGTGGAAGTAGCCTTTTTCACGAATTGACGAATCCCAGTACGGGACTTAGCCCACCAGTATAAGAGTTTCTCGCAGGCTTCGGCAAAATTCGTCGTCCTTTTGGTTCTCGCATGTTTCTCACATCTTCCTTCCTTTTCTTATTTGAAAAAACAAGCCAGAGAATTGGTGAACTCATAAAAAACTTCTTGAAAACTGGTAAGGCTCGAAGTTTCACAGCTCATCTTCAACACGTAATCTGTCCGATGCGGTTCTTTGCTACACCTGTGCCAGAGGATATTCTCAGTAATGATGTGTTCATATTACTTCGCGGCTGGTGCCACTCAATCGCGCTATTTGGGAATCGCGCGCTTTATCGCTCCAGTCGTGAAGTATGAACACGGTTGAATGCTTCTTTTACCTTGCCATGCATGTTGGTAGTTGTACCACCGAACTGCTTTGATTTTCTTCTTTCTTTCATTCATCCTTAGAGTGATTTTTATAGCCATCGAGCTCAGGAGTTCCGAGGAGGTATGCGTATGCATATCAAAGCCGGTTTCGTTATCCTAGTCCAGAAATTATTCCCAAGATTGAACCTCAGGATCTGTTAGAAATCGCTGGAAGTACTGCACAGACGGTAGGTGATGAATACAGTTTGTTTTAAGGTCTCTCTGGGCTATCTTTGGGGCACATTAGCTCAGAGGATTATTGCGTAAGAACTCAAAAAGCTCCAGAGAAACTCGCAGTCACTGATGTTTTCGAATATTTTATTGGCTAGCACCCTCGGCGGCGCCCAGAACCTGCCCTACTTACTCGGTGTAGCATAGCTACGGAAGCACGCCGTGCGGAATGCGGACTCTGGTCGCTGACGTAAGTGCTCGGCACCGAAATATTCGCAAAATCATCAGGACTCTTGAGATCTTGTACAGTCAGTTCTCCTGCTGAGGCCCCGGACAGCACGGTATAGGGTCGGAATTTCTTTGATATTCTCTCATATTTCCTTTCCAGTTCAAAGACATCAACGCTGCGATGAAGAAACGTGAAGAAGCCAAGAATGCGTACAAAAAAAGCAGGAAGTCTTCTTCTGCAGTTGAGCCACCAGCCCCTGTCGAGAAGCAAACTTCCGCGAAGAAGAGGGGTAGGGAACGAGATGAAAAATCGCAGTCAAAGGAAAGTTCACGTAGAAACAGTCGAGAAGCTCCGAAGTCAGCCAAGAAGGCCGCCAAAGAAAAGGAAAAAACGAAGTCTCCAGAGAGAAAGGTGACTTGATTTTTTTAAATTCATGTCAGTATTATCAAATATTTCACGGTATTAATGTAGGCTCGAAAAATCTCAATTGGTAGCCTGAAGTGATGTTTATGTGGTGTTCGATGTTTTCCTACGTCTTAATTTAGGCGTTTCACGCTTCATCGCGCTGTGTGTTTCCGCGTGGTGATTTCATTAGGGGGTGCTTGTTGCCCGAAATTGGGCGTAGTAAGGCGCCGAACCATGTTACCGCCAGAGATATGCAATACCGCTTTGCTGGTTCAAACTTCTCGTGAAGTGGATTGAAATGAAACTTTTTTCGAACCTTTTTTCCTTCAGTGTTTTTACCTATCTTCGCCCATTATGTGGTGTGCTTTTCTGGAAAAAGACCCCAGCGACAACATCTGACGAATCCGGCGCAGTTTGGTCCGGAGGGGCGGTGGTTATTTAAACTTGTGCAGGCCACATTTTGGAGACCTGTCGATTCCTGTGACCAAAGTGGCTCACTCGAACAATTTCGCTGCTTCGCAGGAGTTTACAGGTCCAAGCAAAGTGAAACTTGTTGGTTAACGTGAATGACAAGGGGAAATCGCCAAATTTTAAAAAATGACTCTCCAAGCCGAACATAGCCTCAAATCATTCATGTAGCTCGAGCTTCTTTTTAAGCTGCCTTAAAACGTATGAACCTAAGATATGCTAGTATGGCGGTTGGATTCTATTCAAAGAATCGTAGGACGAGAAGGGACAAATGCTAAATTGAAACCTCTGGCGGAAATTTAAGAACAGTATTCGAAGATTTGAAGTGAAATATCGCTTTATTCGGGAATGATTACCAGAAATGCACCTTTCCTATCAAATTATTCAGCAAACCTCCTTTATTCAATATTTTTCATGAAAAAAAAGTGAAGGAATGAAATTAAATTTCGTTGTGATGGTGGCTAGTGGCGTAGTGTTCATGAATAACTTGACGTTGCTTGCCAAGTAATGGCATACCGAATGTCAGCAAGGTGGAACCTTGGATGTTATTGATGCTTTAATGAACAGTACAATTTCAGGAAAATGGAGGAAGG